CCCTCACCCTACCACTCCTCCCTCACCCTACCATTCCTCACTCACCCTACCATTCCTCCCTCACCCTACCATTCCTCACTCACCCTACCATTCCTCCCTCACCCTACCACTCCTCCCTCACCCTACCACTCCTCCCTCACCCTACCATTCCTCCCTCACCCTACCATTCCTCCCTCACCCTACCATTCCTCCCTCACCCTACCATTCCCCCCCTCACCCTACCACTCCTCCCTCACCCTACCATTCCTCCCTCACCCTACCATTCCTCACTCACCCTACCACTCCTCCCTCACCCTACCCTGGAACGCTGCCACAAACGCCATTAGCGAGGTAACCCGCTTAACCCGCCCCCCCCCCTCCTCCCCCCCCTCACCCTCTCTCACACTAACCAAGTTAATTACCTCTCAACACCACATCAATTTCTCCTCTGAGGCAGCACTCACTCACTCACTCACACACTCACACACTCACTTACACACTCACACACTCACTTACACACTCACACACTCACTTACACACTCACACACTCACTTACACACTCACACACTCACACACTCGCTTACACACTCACACACTCACTTACACACTCACACACTCGCTTACACACTCACACACTCACTTATACACTTACACACTCACACACTCGCTTACACACTCACACACTCACTTACACACTCACACACTCGCTTACACACTCACACACTCACTTACACACTCACACACTCACTTACACACTCACACACTCACTTACACACTCACACACTCACTTATACACTTACACACTCACACACTCACTCACTTACACACTCACTCACACACTTACACACTCACTCACACATCATTCAAAGATCTAATCAGGAAGGCATTTCGATCGCTGTATATCACCTACATGAGACCAGTCCTATGAGTATGCAGCCCCATAATGTACCTCCCCCCCTCCCTGCCTAAAGAAATCCACCAGGAAACTAGAACAAGTTCAGAAGTTTGCGACGAGGCTCGTCCCAGAATTGCGAGGGATGGGATATGAAGAGCGACTGAAAGAACTGAACCTGGTGACTCTAGAAAAAAAATGAATGTGAAACATGATTGCGACGTATAAAATATTTACAGTGGAGTGGAAAATTCAGATGAGTTACCGAGATGTTAGGAAGTTTTATTTTAGTGTGAAGGGAAGGGAACTGTCAGGAGAAAGCGCCAAACCATTACGACTATATAGCACTGGGAAGGGATCAGGATAAGGATTTGGGATGGGACGGGGAGAAGGAATGGTGCCCAACCACTTGTGGACGGTCGGGGATTGAACGCCGACCTGCATGAAGCGAGACCGTCGCTCTACCGTCCAGCCCAAGTGATTGGGTGTATTTTAGTGTGAGTGTAGTGGGAAAATGGAATGAATTAAAAGAGCAGGTTCTTGAAGGAAACTCTATTCATAATTTCACAAGTAGATATGACAAGGAAATAGAACAGGATGCATTGCTTTATACAACCGACGGCTAGAAAGTCGGGAGCCAGGAGCTAATGCTCAATCCTGCAGGCACAAATAGGTAAGTACACACACACTCATTCATTCACTCTCATACAACCTCACTGACACACTCACTCACACAGAGTGCGAGTGTGAGACAATAGAAAGCATTTTTTCAGTGTCAGAGTAGTTAACAGGTGGAATGCACTAGGCAGTGTTGTGGTGGAGGCTGACTCCATACACAGTTTAAAATGTAGATATGACAGAGCCCAATATACTCAGAAACCTGTACACCTGTTGGCTGACAATTGAGAGGCGGGACCAAAGAGCCAGACCTCAACCCCCCCAAGCACAACTACATGAGTACACACACACACACACACACTTCCTTACACACACCAACTCTCTAATATTTCCGCCACACGATTGTAACAAGCACAGTGAGTGACAAGTGAGTGCCCGTGAGTTACCGCGTCCTCTGATGCGCCTCGGGCCAGATTCACGAAGCAGTTACGCAGGTACTTACGAACGTGTACATCTCTCCTCCAACTTTGACGGCTTTGGTTACATTTATTCAACAGTTTACAAGGGTGAAAACTTGCCAATCAACTGTTGTTATTGTTATAAACAGCCTCCTGGTGCTTCGGAGCTCATTAACTGTTTAATAATTGTAAACAAAGCCGCCAAAGATTGAGAAAAGATGTACTGGTTCCTAAGTGCTTGCGTAACTGCTTAGTGAATCTGGCCCCTCGACCGTTATTCTTGGTGGCCTTTGTACCTGACTCTCTCTACATCCTACTGAAACACCAACCCGTTCTCGCAATTTCATATAGTCAATATTGACTTATTAAATACGTGAATATATGACATACTAAACATACTAGTTTACCTTGAAAAGCTTCATAGAAAACACCGACCTTACCTAACCTTCTTAGTATGTTAAGCTAAGCATCTTATTGCTTCGTAATTACAATTATTACTTAACCTATTATAGGTGTAGGTTAATAAGTGTAATTACGAAGCACTAAGATGCTTATCTTAATATACTAAGAAGGTTAGGTAAGGTCGGTGTTTTCTATGAAGCTTTTCAAGGTAAACTAGTATGTTTAGTATGTCACATATGCACGTATTTAATAAGTCAATATTGACTATATGAAATTGCGAGAACGGGTTGGAAGCACACAAGGCAATTAACTCACTCCTCTTCCAATGGCCCTTGTATTAAGGCCTATACCAAGATCCTCTCAACTTCTATGGCCTATGTTACCTACTCTCACCTTCCCCGATATGAAATCAAGAATTCTTGTGCAACTGCCAGGTACATATTTATATTCCTGGGTGAATAGGGGCATCAGAGGGGGAATAAAAACGTGCCTAATCGTTTCTGTCGCAGCCAGGGAGTAAATTCGGGTCCTGTGGAGCGAGTGGAGGCTCCAGGAGCAGTGAAGATTGAGAAAGGAGTGAGTGAAGTAGTGACCCATCGCCTAAGATATGACTCCTTGCCTAGGCGTCGGCCGAGCGGACAGCACGCTGGACTTGTGATCCTGTGGTCCTGGGTTCGATCCCAGGCACCGGCGAGAAACAATGGGCAGAGTTTCTTTCACCCTATGCCCCTGTTACCTAGCAGCAAAATAGGTACCTGGGTGTTAGTCAGCTGTCACGGGCTGCTTCCTGGGGGTGGAGGCCTGGTCGAGGACCGGGCCG